TATACTGAATAACTGCCAGTAAAAAAGAAAACCTCAGAAAAACCTTTTTTTGATCATTTTCCCACGTATGCTGGAAACGTAGAAATTTAGAGACTAGTTTTCCAGTCTTTGAAACACCTTGGCAATGAGGAAAACTAGTCTCTAAATTTCTACGTTTTCCAGCATACGTGGGAAAATGATCAAAAAAAGGTTTTCTGAGGTTTTCTTTTTTTACTGGCAGTTATTCAGTATAACCTCTTCTCTGTGATGGAGGATGACGAGCACCTGCTGGTAAGCTCATTGGTCATGGTGTGTGTGTGTGTGTTGTTGTTGTTGTTGGTTTGTTGTGTTGGTGTGCAATAAACACAAACCAAGGAAATAAAAATCCTGCCAGCCCCAAATCCCCCAGTTCCTTCTCTGGGTGATCTTGTTTTTGGTGCCAGAAATTATCCCTGAAAATAAATGCACAACTGAAGCCGTTGCAGTTTTCAGACAGTTTAAACACGCAGCCATGGAAGGCTGAATTATCATCCGCTGCAGTGTTCCCTGAAAAGTGAAATTTACCTTACCCCAGGCACGCATCCTTTATAACTTTTTATTCTTAACTGCCCAATTTTGGAATAATGTTCCATTTTTACTACTCCCAAACTACAACTGTGGGAAAGGGTTACTGAGAAAATTATGGGTCATGAATGTTTTAACTTGGTTCTCTGATTGGTTCGTGGACCAGTGGAAAAGCTTGTGGCACAGAGGGGGGAAAGGGATTTTTATCTAGATTTTTTGGGAAAACATGAAGAAAATTCTTGTGGACAGAAGAAAAAATAGAATATAGCACGGTTATTGTCTGCCAAAATTCATGCAAATGCCAGAACATAACGTTGGTTTTTCCGTTGGTTGGTTGTTCCATGTTTGTTTTAATCCGTTTCCCCACAGCTCCCTTCACATTACTGGAACCATCCAGCCCCATATTGGGGTTTTTGTTTACAAATTTATGGCCTTGTTACCTGAAACGGACTTCTTGCAGTTGATCCCAAAAAACATTTATAAAGTTTGTCCCCAGGAACCCCTGAGGGTTATTCTCTTATGTTTTATATTGCTTATCCTTTCTCTGCTGTGGGTACTTTGTTTGTTGAATGGCCTTGCAGGTTGGCTTAATTGGATTGAGTGTTAGATTTGTTTCCAGGCAGCTTGCTACCAGCTCTTGGTTTTTTTGGCTCTTCTCTTCCTCCATTTACAACAAAGCATGCTCTGTTGTGAAAGTACAACAGACCTGTTGCCCTCTTAATTCTTTGCTGGTTGGTTTAAACTGCCCTCAGTTGGGAGTTTGTTGGCAGAGATCGAAATCTTTGGAGTTTTTTTGCAACTCTAGCCCTTTTAGGCCTTTTTTAAAGTATTTTTATATTGGCGTTATGTATATTTCTTTCACTCCACCCCTGCTGCCACGACCCACTTTCCATCCGTTT